GCACCTCTTCCTCTACAAGCCTTTTCTGTATTTAGAATGACTGCCTTGGGCTCGGTTTTTTGGACCAAAGGGTAGGCACGTTTTGGGGGCCCATTTACTTTCCAGAAGGGTGTTCCAATCTGCACTCCCACCAGCGACGGAGGATTTTAAAAACATAGATCACCTCACGCTTTTTCCTCCAACCGAAACACCCCTGGGGCTCCCCGACCTTCCCCCTGCCGACAAGGCCCCCCTCAGGCTGGTTTCTGCCCTGACTTCACCTCCCGTCTCCCACCGGAAGGTTCTTCCTCCCCTGTTCCCGCTACACTGACCTTCTTTCTGGTCTTGAATATAATGAGCTTTTTCTGGCTCCGGGACTTTGCTGTTCCCTCTGTCTGAAACACCCTTAACCACAAACCTCCCCACATGGGCTCCTTCCCATCAGTCAATTCAAGCGTCACCTTCCCAGAATGGCCCTCCCTGACCACTAAACGATGATGCCCACCCCATCCCCGCAGTCACACGCTATTCCATCCTTCTGTCCTGTTGTCTTGCAGGCATTTGACACTTCCTGAAGTGACTGCTTGCTTGCTGGGGACTGACACCCCACGGGGGCAGGGACCCTGATGTGTCCTCTGTATCTAGAACAGCGTCTCACACACACCGAGTAATTTTGTAAAAATTTTTTAAAGTGTATTTATTTATTTTGAGAGAGAGAGAGAGAGCAGGGGAGGGGCAGAGAGAGAGGGAGAGAGAGAATTCCAGGCCGGCTCCGTGCTGTCAGCACAGAGCCTGATATGGGGCTCGCACTCACGGACTGTGAGATCATGCCCCAAGCCGAAACCAAGATTCGGACACTTTACCGACTGAGCCGCCCAGGTGCCCCCCACCCCGAATAAGTTTTATTTCCCCCCAGGAGGAGAGCTTTCAAAGCTCCAGACCCATGGGAAGTACGAGGCTCATTTACTCTAAGGTCCGTTTCTTAGAGCAGCTGGCCATCTCCCCTGGTCCAAACAGCACCAAACGAAGGGCAGGGGGAGCATCCACCCTCAGCGCACACTGTCACTTCACTCAGTGCAGCCTTATTCAGCGCTCAGTTCAGTCCACCCTTCAAACAAATATCTGGTTCTTACCGCACGCCATGCACTCCTCCGGGCACTGACGACCCAAGCAGAAATCAAGCAGGGCCTTCTCCCAGGGGACTTCTAGTCTTTTAGAGGGGGACAAGGCTTTGAGAACAGGTGCCAACCACAGTGCGGGCTCTGGGCTTCCTGTCGGACGGCAGAGGTGGGTCTCAGGGCAGGGGGAGGAGCAGCAAGTCTGGTGGAAAGGGACAAGAGGCATCCAGGTAGGGGCGTGGCTGGTGCTCTGGCAGGTGCTGTATTCTGATCCCATCCTGGTGGCTGGTTCCTGGGTGGGGAGGGGGGTCACCTACTTCCCAAGGACACAGATCCCAGCCCTGGAAGGACCACCTCCCAGCCGGTTCCTGTTGTCACCTTGAGGCAGGACCCCTTTCCCTGCATGTGGAACCGCCCCATCGCTGGCTCATTTCTTGTGCCAGGGCCCCAGTGGGCTCCCCTCTGTAATGTCCCCTGAGCTTCCACGGTCTCTCTTAAAACCACGTTACAGAAGAATAAACCGAGGCTCAGACAGAGGCACAGGAGCTGGGGCCCTCAGCCCTGAGAGAAGGTTATAATTCCATCTACCTAGTCAGGGGCTGCTCCCAAGCCGGGGGG